ATCCATACATACATATATACATACATAGATACACACATTTATGTATACACACATACATACATACAACTATCTATATACACGTATATGTAGATATGTGCACTCTCACACACATAAACATTCATACACACATGTATTTATTTACATATTCACGCATTTCTGTATTACGTTATTTGTTCTATTCAATTATTCCCTACCTAGGCTCTGCCTAGAAGGGTTCTTACCGTACAAGCTTAAGGGGCCGGGCAGTGCTCCCCGCCCTGGGCGGTTCCCCCAGGATCCGCCCCGCGGTTCCCCCAGTGACGTTCCCTTAGCTTAGCGTTGCCTATCTCATCATAGCTTAGCTTATTTCATCTTAGCTTAGCTTAGCTTCATCTTAGCTCAGGTTTATCTTAGCTTAGCTTACCTTCATCTTAGCTTCGCCGAGCTTTAGCATAGCAGAGCACAGCATAGCAGAGCGTAGCACAGCACAGCGCAGCATATCATAGCAAAGCCCAGCGTAGCACAGCATAGCGCAGCATAGCATAGCATAGCATAGCATAGCGTAGCACAGCACAGCACAGCATATCACCGCGCAGCATAACATAGCATAGCATAGCAGAGCCTAGCACAGCAGCAAAGCAAAGGCAAAGCAACAGCAGCGACAGCAAAGCACAAGCAACGCAAAGCAAAGCAAAACAAAAGCAAAAGCAAAGCAAAGGAAAGGCAAAGCAAAAACAATGTGCGACAGATGCCGAGCTGGCCTCGATGGCGGGACCGGAGCCCCCGCAAGCAGTGCCTTCCGTAACCATTTCGGCTCAAGTCCGGAGGCCCCTGCCACACAGCCGCCCACGCTCATGTCCCGAGGTTGGCGGAGTGAGGCGTTCAGCGGTGGTGCAGAGCCCGCCTCGGCACCAGGTGGTGCTGCACAGCCCATTTGTGTGGTGATCTTGTTCCCTACCTAGGCTCTGCCTGGAAGGGTTCTTACCGTGTGTGCTAAAGGGCCGGGCAGTGGTCCCCGCCCCGGGCAGTTCCCCCACGATCCGCCCCGCGGTTCCCACAGGATCCCCCGCTTTGCCTAGCCTAGCTTAGCTTAACTGAGCTTAGCTAGGCTTAGCTTAGCTTAGTTTAGCTTGGCTTGGCTTAGCTTAGCGCAGCATAGCTTAGCTTAGCTTAGCTTAGCTTAGCTTAGCTTAGCTTAGCGCAGCATTAGCACAGCATCGCATACCATAGCCAAGCATAGCGTAGCATAGCATAGCTCAACATAACATAGCATAGCGCAACATAGCATAGCATAGCCAAGCATACCGTAACACTGCTTAGCATAGCACAGCGCAGCATAGCATAGCACAGCACAGCACAGCATAGCGCAGCATACCATAGCATAGCAGAGCGCATCATAGCATATCATATCACATCATAGCATAGCACAGCGCAGCATAGCATAGCATAGCATAGCATAGCGAAGCATAGCTTAGCTTACCTTAGCTTGGCGCAGCATTAGCACAGTTTAGAATAGCATAGCATAGCCAAGCATATCATAGCATAGCATGCACAGCAAAAGCAAAACCAATGCGACAGTGTAGATGTAGATGTAGATGTAGGTGTAGGTGTATATGTGGATGTAGGTGTAGATGTAGATGTAGATGTAGATGTAGGTGTAGATGTAGGTGTGGATGTAGATGTAGATGTGAGTCTCGCTGTTGATGTTGATGTAGATGTAGATGCAGGTGTAGATGTTAATGTAACTGTCGGTGTAGATGCATAGGTTGCTTTCCAAGATGCTACAACTCCTAGGTAGGGTCGCACCGGGATCATTTAATAGTTATTTGTATGTACGCGCATACAGACACCTATACACACATATTTATATATACATACACATACATACACATACACATACACAGACAATTTATCTGGGACAACTTCGGGTGCGGCTGGGGAGGCTGGTTCGTGAGCGCCCCAGGAGGGCTGAAGACGGCCCCAGATGGCCCCAAGACGGCCCCAGAGGGCCCCAGGAGGCCTCAGGGCCCGACAGGCGTCCCAAGACGGCCACGATGGGCCCAAGGTAAGCCCAACATGGCCACTCGACGGCCCAATTGGCTCTCCAGATGGCCCAAGGGGGCCCGAAAACGACTCCCAAGAGGCCCCTGGGAGGCAGGAGTTGTAGGTTTTCCCTCAGGTTCCAATGCCGTTTTCGCATGCTCGGCTTCTCGGTCTCCAGAGCGCTCCAGACGGCCGAAGATGCCCCCGAGATCGCTCCAAGATGGCCCAATAGGCGCTCAAGAGGGCCCCAAGAGGAGCCCAGGGTGGCCCAAGAGCGGCCCAAGACAGCCCCAAATCGATCCAAGAGGGCTCTGGGAGGAGCTCCGGACGGCCCAAAAGGGCACCCAGGCAGCCCAACAGTGCCCCAGACCGCCCCAGAACAACCTCAAGAGGCCCCCAAGAGGCCCCAGACGGCCCAGGAAGCCCCCAATACGGCCTGAAAACGGCCTCAGGAGACCGCGAAGAGGGCCCAATCGGGACCCTCCATTCGTACGGCGACGGTCATTTCTTGTTTCTTTGTTTGCCTCTCTCTCTCTCTCTCTCTCTCTCTCTCTCTCTTTGTGTATATATATATATATGTGTGTGTGTGTATGCATGCACGTACGTACGTACGCATGTATGTATGCATGCATGCATGTATGTGTGCGTGTATGTTTGTATGCATGCATGCATGCATGCATGCATGTATGTATGTATGCATGCATGTATGTATATACAGATATACCCCCTTCCTTGTTCGCCTTGTTCTGTTCCCGTCCCGTCCTTCCCCTCGCCCTCGTCGTCGCTGACACTTGACGCCCCGGCCGCCGCTCTCCCGGTCCCTCTTTCCTCCTGGCTTGCCCCTCCGCCATTCGCCTTCCACCCTCCGACTCTGCACCACGTGTTACCGCCGTGGCGCCGTGCGCGCAGCTGCCGAGGGAACGTGCCTACGCATATATATATATATATATATATATGTATATATGTGTGTGCTCGTATATGTATATATATACATATATATATATATAGATGCACATACATCTATAGGCAACGTACATACGCACACATACATACATCTATATATATGTGTATACATGTGTGTGTTTGTGTTTGTGTGAATGTGCGCGCATGTGGAGACTGTGGCACACCGCGTCCGTGGTTCAGGTGCTCACGCCGCCCTCTCTCTGCGTGCCTGGGCCTCGCTGTGTGGAACGCCTGGCCTGCACGTCTCCGGTCTTCTTTTCCTGCGGGGATCGCTTCACTCCTGAGCGCCGTCCTCAGCAGAAATTGGCAATTCACTGCGACGTTGCCCGTGGGCTCAAAACACACGTGCCTAAGGCCTCTCACGGCACGAACTTCATCGACGCAGATCCCGTGAACGAATGCATCAACCCGAACCCAAAACACAGCATCAATTCATGCATCCGCCGCAGCGCTTGCAGCACGGTAGGCGCGTGAGTGAGTGAGCGAGTGTGCGTGTGGATGTGAATGTGTGTGTGTGTGCGTGTGTGTGTGTGTGTGTATGTGTGCACGCGTCAGCGCTTCTGACGTTCCCATCACAAAGTTGCGTAGTTTATGCGACATCTCGGCTGTGGGTGGCCCTGGGGAGCCCCTGGCCCTTGGGCTCCGGGAGCCCCCCCACCCCAGATGTCTCGGGGAAGAGCCCCTGACGGCCACAGGACTGCCCAGCACGGACCCAAGACGGCCCACAGATTCGCCGGCCCAACGGGCCAAGGGCGTGCTAAGATCTCCGGTAACTGGTTAACAATATTCTAGTTCGCGCGCGCGGGGCCTCCCCTGGGGGTCCCCGGACGAAAAGTACCCCGGGAGACCCTCGGGACACCCCCGGGACACTCGGATCAGAGATGCCAGACCGGGCAATTTTTCGACACCCCTCACGAGGACCGTGGCCTCCGAGGGGAGGGGCGCAATCGACTACCCCCCCTCCTGACCCAAGAGGTCCCCAAGAGCCCCCCAAGAGGCCAAGGAGCCCCAAGAGACTCGCAAGAGGTCCCCAATAGGCCTCCAAGAGGCCCCCAAGAGGCCCTAAAGAGGGCTCCAGGGCCGGCGGAATGAGCGAAGCGATTACAGAAGTAGACACGGATTCCCCCTTTTCTTCCTAGTTGTTTTTATGTTTTTTGTCTTCCCCCCACTTCCCATATTCTTCTATATTTTCCTGGGGTCGCCGATTAATTGTGTCTGTGTTTTTTCCCCTCCTGACATTGTCAGCTCAAGATGCAGAGGTGCCCCGAGACTGCCCCAGGAGCCCCCGCACGCGGCTCTTACCAACACCCGAAAGGTCGTCCACACCAGCCCGAGTCCTCACAAAAGTTCCGCCGGGGCCGCCAAGGAGCCGTTGTGAAGAACAACATCTTTGGACAACATTCGACTTTTGGGAGGCTTTTGCCGTGCCGCTGCGAAAAGCTCAAGGCAACCCCTGGATCCCGTCCAGATTAACTTCGTGCTTCTCGGGACGGCGCACGTTCCAATGAGCACTCGAGGGGTCCAAGGTGGCCCCATGACTGCCTGAGACAGACGCAGGACGGCCACAAGACGGCCCGAGAGGGGCCAACGGTGTTCCCAGCACCCACAGAACGACCCCACGACCCCCCGAGGCGGCCTCAATACCCCCCCCAACCGCCCCAAGACCCTCCAGTCAACCGCCAGATCACCACACCGGCCCCCGAGAGGTTCCCAAGAGGCCTCGAAAGAGTTCCCGAACAAACATCGCGAACACAATACCACACCACACCGTGCCACGCCACAGCGTTGCTGTGCAAGTACCCCAAGCGCAATCTGGCGCGCAGGACATGCCAAAGAACATCCGCTGGCTTTCGGGATGACTGCCGCTGGAGACATTTACTCATCACTTACACCAAGATTTGTGCCACAACAACGCGCGAGTTTTCACCGATTCCTACGTCCTAAAACGCCGCGGCGGACATGCGCAACACCGCGACTAGCTCAACAATGCGGTTCTCCACTTCCGTCACCCTCTCCCCACAAGCGGCATCTTCGTAGCCATCACAGTCATAAACAAGACGTTGGCATCAAGCGGCAACGAGCTCATGTGCACAACGCTGTTCGCAATGTTCGAAACGTCCATTAAAGGCTCTACAAGCCTCCGCTCGCTGCCGTCCACCGTGGCTTGCAGTGCCCCCCTGTCTTTGCCGAGAGGCGCGGACATGTCTGTCAAAGTGTTACCGATGTCGATCTGCCCGCAGGCAATGTCGAAGGGCCTGCCGTCCAAGGCGGTCGACTTTGTCAGCCCTGTGACGGCGTGCTTCGAAGCCGTATATGCGGCAGACATGGGTCGCGGCCGATCAGCCGACACAGATCCGTTGTTGATGATCCTGCCGCCGCGAGGCTTCTGCGACTTCATGAGCTTGAAAGCTTGCTGGGTGCACAGGAATGTGCCTGTCACATTGGCGTCGATGCATCGCTTGAAGGCCTCAACTGACACGTCTTCCATCGGTGTTGGAGGCACCCCTGTACCCGCGTTGTTGAACAACAAGTCGCAGCGACCAAAGCGATGCTCCACCTCCTTGAACAGCCTCTCGACGTCTGCACACTTGCAAACGTCGCACGTGACAGCTGCGACCTCAACATGTGCTGCCTCCTTGTTTATCAAGGCAACGGTCTCCTCCAGAGCTTCCCTCCTTCGCCCCGCGAGTGCCACACACGAGAAGTTGCCTGACTTCGCAAGAGCAATGGCGGATGCACGACCGACGCCACTGCCAGCCCCCGTAACGACTGCAACTTTCACTGGCATGGCATTTGCTGGCCGTAAGCGTTTGAGCGGAGACTCCCCCGTAGCCGTCCGACTGGTGGGCAATGTAACCACAACTTTTGCTTGATCACCGAAATCTTCGATGTACTCGCGCACAATCGTGTCTACATCTGGCACCTCGGTGAGGCCAAGCGCTAAGGCTTTGTGATGCATGATTTGTTTCACAGCCATGCCGCCTACGACCTTTGACAGAAACGGATCGATGGTATCGGTGATTTTACCAAGCCTATGGTGCTGGTCACCAGGCACCACACGCATCATTCCATCGATCAAGTCCTGAAGCGTAATTGAGATCGAAGGCATGCAGACGCCTCTATCCACTGGCGCTTTGCCTGGTTGGCCAAAATTCGCATCGTGCAACGCTTTGAGGTTCGAAACCAACGACCGTGTCGAGGAGCATGCGTGCGGCAACGATCGGTCCACGGGTAACGCTACGTCGACGCCGCTCAAGGGCTCGCGCACGACTCCGCTGAAACAACTGGTCGTTGCAGCGTTGGGCTTGCCTGGGCGCACAACGACCGTGGCTAGCCGCGCAGAGCAACCGTCCACGAAGCCCTTCCGCGTAAAGTCATTCACGAATAACTCACCAACGCACTTGGTCATGCCGTAGGTGTTCAACGGCACCTGCTTCGTCTCGTCGCTGACCGGTCGGTCTGCAGTCTCGCCGAATGTCGCACCCGAAGAGGCGTTGACAATGCGTACCAATCGGCCGCCCCTGCCTGCCAACGCTCGAGCTGCCTCCAACACGTTGCGCGTGCCGTCAAGATTCACGCGCATCGCGAGGTCGAAATCTTGCTCGGCTTGACCACTCATGATGCCAGCCAGATGGAACACCGACATGCCTGGATCTACAATGAGGCCATTCATCGTCGCACGGTCTTCGATGCTGCCAGTAACGCATTTGATCCGAGGATCTTTGAGCAAGTCCGTCTCCCTCCATGCGTCGAAGGCGCCAGGAATGTCGAAGATAATCACTTCTTCGACTTTCTCCCGATTAGGAGAACTTCCACTCCAACGAACGAGTCCAGGACTCCCTGGCTGCAGCAACAACTTGCACAACTCCTGTCCAACAAAGCCTGCACCCCCCGTGATCAGGACCTTCATCGCCGACCCGAGGCAAGGCCCGATCAACGACTGTCTGACAAGGAGGATGACAATTGAGCCAATTGGAGAAGACCACGAGGAGTGAGATGGGGGCGGGTGGGGAGGCGCATGAGGCGGCCCTGGTAGACCTCGGGGGATCCTTCGGGGGGTCTCGGCTGAGACCGGCTGTCCTGCCACCGTTCCCCCTCTGGCTCCTGGTCGTCCCCCATCTCCTCCCCTCTCCCCAGAAACGCGCAGGATGAGAAGGCTGGGGACATGAAACCTGGGGTGACGTGGCCAGGTCGTGAATGTGATTCCCCCCCCCAATGCGATGCCAACACCATGGGTTCTCACGTCGGTTGAAAATGATTGGCCTGATTTTCCGGGTTTTCGGCCGGTGCCCACCAGGGGGCGCGCCTCGTGCGCGTTTCCTGCGCGGTGGGGAAGTTTTCCGAGTTTTCGGCTGGGGCCCGCCCGTAGGCGCGTTCTGGGAGCCTCGTGCGCTAGTTCGCGTCTCAGGATGTAGCCGCTCAACTTGTACCCCATGTGTGCTCTTTCCTAGACAAGAATCTACCACCGTGCCCCCCGGCGCATTGAGGCGTGGTAGAATGCGAAGTGCTGTCAGGTAGCGCCACCGAGGGCGGGCGGAAGAACAGTGTAAGACGTCGCACGCGAGGGGTGATAATGAGTGACGGCGAAACCGCACGCGACAAAAGCTCCACTCCATCCTCTACCTTTTTCTTCTCGCACCTCCTTCTTCTCCTCCTCCTCCTCCTCCTCCTCCTCCTCCCTCTCCTCCTCCTCCTCCCTCTCCTCCTTATGGTCCGTCTTCTCCGCCCCTTCTACCTGTCCTCCTCGCCACTGCTCGCACCTTCTCCTGCTCCTGCTCCTGCTCCTCCTCCTCCTCCTCCTCCACCTCCTCCTCCTCCTCCTCCTCCAGCACAGACGGCGCCCTCAAAGGCCAGGGCCAGGCGGCCTGCGATCCCGAGGTACGCCCGGAACGCCAGGACCAATCCGACAATCAGCAGCGCCTCAGGGCGTGGCGGGCCGCGGCGCTGCGAGCTGCGCCCCGGCAGAGGGCACCCCGACAGCGAACGCATGGGCTGCTGCGTGACGTGGTGGGGCGCCGAAGCCATGAGATCTGACGCCCAGGCCTCTCCATTAATGCGGGATGACGATTAATAACAAAAATGGGAGGGAACGATTAAACAATAGTTTCCTGCTATTTCTGCACAAGTTTCTGACTGGAGGAGAACGATTGAAAAAATAGTTTTCCAGCCAGCGGCCGGTTTTTTCTAACCGTCATCCCGGGCGCCGCCGCGTTAACACGACCCCCGGTCATTTATTAATCGTCATCCTCCATCAAGGATGCAAGGGCCTTGGAAACCCATTCCGAAGCTTTCCGAGCCAGGCGCGCCCGACGAAAGTGGCCAAGGCTGGACCGAGGAGGCAAGGATGCAAGGGTACTCTTGGGAAGGGTGCCTGTCCTTACTATGCGGGTTGCCTGCATCATGAGCATCCGTGGATCTCCTGGGCCTACCTCGGGAGCCTCCCCAGACGACCCCCCTCGAACTTCCCTGGGCCCTCCCTGAGCGTCTCCAGGTCTCCAAGGGACAGGGCACGCGGCGATTTTTCACAACCATCCTGTGGTGTTGGGTTCTCGTTTTGAGGAAACAATTCCCTTGTTCCTCACTCCTCCTCTTTCCCCTCCCCCTGCTCCCCCCCCCTTACTCTTGCTCTGCGCATGTTAACAGGTTCGGCACACCCCTCGCACGATTCGTGGCCCTGTATGAGCTCCACCGAAGGCCCCAGTAGCAAAGCCCATATGCATGCGTCTCCCCCCACCTACAACAGCGTTTTCGTGGCCCATAGGAAGCGCCACTGAAGGCCCCAGTGGCAAACTCCACAAGCGTCTCGCCCACCCAGTACAGCGTTTGGTGGCCCCAAGGGAGCTCTACCGAAGGCCCCAGTGGCACAGTCTACATGCGTGATCCCCCACCCAGTTCAGCGTTTCGTGGTCCACAGGGAGCTTCAGTGAAGGCCCCAGTGGCAAAGTTCGCATGCGTCCCCCCCGCCCAGTTCAGCGTTTCGTGGCCCATAGGGAGCTCCACCAAAGACGACACCCACACCTGCGGTACTCACGACCGCATGTGGTTGGGTCTCTCGCTGTGCAAATTTCCTCGATTTGGGCTTTGCCTCAGAGGCCCTGGGATCGTGATTGTTTTGCGCCCAAGGGCCCACTGGCAATTGCTGCCCGCCCGCACAATTCCTCCGCCCCCCTGTGTTTTTTGGAAGCGCTCTCTGATTCTCCAAGGCTTCCCGTCGTTAACGTTCGCTTTCTTTCAGCTTGTTGTAAGCTAGCTTTCAGCTTAGCTTCATATTGCAATTCGCTTGATGTTGGTCTGCCGCTGACTTACTTTGTAATGGAATGCAACTTGGCTAGCTGCCTGCCGTGAGGCGGCTTAGCTTGCCTTGTGATCGCCAGTTGATTGTCACCTGTTTGCCTTGGGCGCGCGCCTAGTAGCATGCTATAGCTTGGTTTGAGCGTACTTTGAACTTGCTTTGAACCTGCCTGTACTTAATGTGCTCGCTTACCGGCGTCTTGGTATCAATCTGCCTTTCGTTAAACCCTACTGTGGCTTTAACGTGCATTTTGCCAGCCCAGCTTTTCGCTGGCTCCTGCTCGACTCTGGCCTACCCCTTGCTCGTCCCAACGATTCCTGGTCAGCCTGACTTCCTTCATTCTGCATCCAGCTTGCTGCTGCCTTCACAGAAACTACAGTCAACCCGTATCATAAGGATGCACGGTAAGGATGCAAGGGCCTTGGAGGCCCATGTGAACGTTTTCCGAACGAGGTTGGCGAGCAAAGTGGCCAAGGATGGGATGAAGGGGTAAGGATGCAAGGGTACCCTTGGGAAGTTTGCCCACCCCTATTGTGCGGGTTGACTGTATCCCAGCCTCGGGGCCGCGCTGGTTTCATCGTTGGGTTCCTGCTCGGTCCCCGCGAAGCTCTGTCCAGAACTCTTCTCAGCCGCGCGGCGGGAGTCGAGGCAGCAGGGGGGGGGGGAAAGGCAGCGAGAACTGCTGGCGGGCAGCCGCAGTGCAGCCGCCGCGCACGAGGGGGGAAAAGTCGGAGAAGGGCTCCGCCCGAGCGCCTGTGGAAGAACCCTCGGGCGAGACGCTCGCAGGCAGGAACACATCATGCAGTCAGTACGCATCAGAAGGATGCACGGTAAAGATGCAAGGGCCTTGGAAAGCCGTGTCGAAGCTTTTCGAGCAGGGCGCGGCCAACGGAAATGACCAAGGATGGGCCGAGGAGGCAAGGATGCAAGGGTACCCTTGGGAAGGTTGCCCATCCTTATGATGCGGGTCGACTGTAACATACGTAAAAACAAGATAGGCAACGACTTGAAAATTGGGGGGTGATGTGAAAACCAAACAAAACCGCCCAACCGGGGCATCCAATTCGGTTTCGGTTCGTGCCGTGCGTGACGTGCGCGCGGGCGAGGCGAAGCTGAGCGAATGCCTGCTCTAGTAGAGGCCAGCCAGGTCAAGCCACAATGAGTCGCTCCGGCCTGGCCAGTGTGCGCGGGTGATCCCGATGGATGTCCCTATGGTTGTCCCAACGGTTGTCCCGATGATTGTCCCGATGGTTGTCCCAACGGTTGGTTGTCTCGATGGTTGTCCAGAAGGTTGTCCCGATGGTTATCCCCATGGTTATCCCGATGGTTGTCCAGATGGTTGTTCCGATGGTTGCCCCATAGGTTGTCGGGATCGTTGTCCCTATGGCTGCCCCGATGGTTTTCCTGACGGCTGTCCCGATCGCTGTCCCGATGGCTGTCCCGATGGTTGTCCTGATAGTTGTCCCGATGGTTGTCCCGATGGATGTCCCGATGGATGCTCCGATCGTTGTCCCGATGGCTATCCCGATGGCTATCTCGATGGTTCTGCGAGGCCATAATGCAAACATGATCCCAGTGCGACCCTACCTAGGAGTTGGAGCCCCTAGGAAACCAGCATTGGTAGTAACAGCAAAGCTAAGCTAAAGCTAAGCTAAAGCTAAGTTAAAGCTAAGCTAAAGCTAAGCTAAAGCTAAGCTAAGCTAAGCTAAAGCTAAGCTAAAGCTAAGCTGAAGCTAAGGTAAAGCTAAGCTAAATCTAAACTAAAGCTAAGCTCAAGCTAAACTAATGCTGAGCTAAAGCTAAGCTGAAGCTAAGGTAAAGCTAAACTAAAGCTAAGCTAAAACTAAACTACAGCTAAGCTAAAGCTAAGCTAAAGCTACGCTAAAGCTAAGCTAAAACTAAGTTGAAGCTAAGCTAAAGCTAAGCTAAAGCTAAGCTAGAGCTAGAGCTAAAACTAAAACTCCCAGGGGACTGGGGGAACCGCTCCCAGGGGACCGGGGGAACCGCCCGGGGCGGGGTCCACTGCCCGGCCCCTTTAAGCAAAGAGAGTAAGAACCCTTCTAGGCAGAGCCTAGGTAGGGAATAAGCTAAGCTAAGATGAGATAAGCAACGCTAAGCTAAGGGGACGTAGCTGGGGGAACCGCGGGGCGGATCCTGGGGGAACCGCCCGGGGCGGGGTCCACTGCCCGGCCCCTTTAAGCAAAGAGAGTAAGAACCCTTCTAGGCAGAGCCTAGGTAGGGAACAAAACGGGCTCTGCGAGGCCATACTAAAAATTCGCTCTGCGAGGCAATACTACAAAAAATACGCCTTGTGGGCAAAACATATAAGAGTACGTCCTGCAAGGCCAAACCATAAAGCAAGTGCCCTGCGTGGGGCAAGCAGTGAGACAGACGCTCTGTAGGTGGAACTGACTGAAGAGACAGACAGGGATATAGGTATGAAGACATATAGACCAGCTGTCCCGATGGCTGTCCCGACTGTTATCCCGATATACATTAATTTTTTCATATATATATATATATCAATGTCGATCGCGGGATATATCAATATGTAGATAGCAATGCCGACAGGTGTTGCGACCGCCATGTAAATGACGTGTATAAAGATATAAGTGCATGTGTATGTGCCAATACACATAGGGCTGCATCTATATATATATATATATACATATATATACACATACAACCATGCGCATGCACACATCGTATACGCAATACACGCACGCGTGTACTTATACATAGGTATGACGAAACATTGTTGTGCATACGCACACACATATATACATATATATATATACACATACATATATATACACATGTTTGCACATATATACAGATTGGTCGGTTGACGCCTGTCTATACACATATCTGGTTAGATATGAACATACCGACCGACCGGTTAAGGACAACCAGTACTTCTGCCCCAATGTGTGTCAACTCGTGTGCTGAGAAATGCGCGTCCACTGCAAATCAAAACTGAAGCTGTCCCCAAAACCTCTTTATCACCTGAAAAGTTGGCTGTCAAATAAGATGAGCGAGGACGAATTATCATGGGCACTGCCAGAATACGAAACCGTCCAGTCGGAACTTGTAAAATCCCAGCCAACTAGCAGACTCGCAAAGACATGCGACTTGCCTGCACACCTCTCAGATGAATCTCCACTCGCTCGCGGATATGTCATGCCTATAAGACCTCCGCGTCACACGGAGAATGGAGAATGCGGGGGATGGGTGCAACTTCCGGTTTGTGATTGGCGTCCGATCGGGTTCGCAGCACACACAGATATCACTCAGACGACCTCGATACATTCATGTATCTATATATACGTATGTATATCTATATGTATGTATGTATGTATGCATGCATGTATGTATGTATGTATGTATATATATATATATATAAAACAACTATGCACTCCCAACTATAGGTCGCATTAATCATCAATCGATCACAGATCACACTAGCGATGAATCATCGGTCTGACCATTTTTCGGCCCACCTATTTGTGTATGTATTTGCAATTTTTGAGAACCCGACAATCTCACCATCACTATACATATATACTTTACATCTCACTTCTTTCGGGATCTCTACCTATCTAGCGACATACAGACGGGATACCCTTGG